GCCATCCCCTTTTCCTTATGAATCAGGATGAAGTCTCTCTCAGGGAGGAGAGACAGGGAATGGCAAAGAACACACTGACAAAGGAGATTAATCAGAACTGGCTTTGACAAGCACTGTGGCAATTGGACAATTAAAACAGACATTCGGGGGGGGGAGGGGAGAAGAACGAACTGGGGAGGAGGATAGAGAAATCAGTGCAACAATGAATGAATGAAAACCCCAAATCTCTGTAAATGTTCACTAAAAGTAATAAAATTTAATAATAATTTAAAAACAAAACAAAATTCTACTGAACAGTTGAAAGATACAGAAAAATTATTACCATTTTGCTTGTTCTAAATAACTTATACTCTAGGTGATGAGCAATTCTGAGACAAGTGAAATTAGGCAATTAAGCTAAAATGAGTTGAGGATTTTCTGGAAGACTGAAGTAGATATGAATTGTTCAGAAAGTCTTTATGGAAGAGCAAAGACATTCAGATAGACTTGTTAAAACAATAATATTTTTGTTTGTTTATTTTTTAGGTACAGAACGCAAAACATGAACTATAATATTTATAACCAATGTACAAAGTTGACTTGGCTAGAACTGGAATACTGTTACTTACAATATATTCCAGAGGAATTAGAAAAGTCAAAGTAATGGATAACAAAAAAGAACCTCCATTCTTCAATGAAGATAATGTGGGACCACTTTACTACAAACTTTCTTTCTATGATACCATGGAGCTCTTCATTGAAACATTGACGGGAACATGTTTTGAGTTGAGAGTTTCACCTTTTGAAGCTGTCATTTCTGTGAAAGCGAAAATTCAAAGACTGGAAGGTACTAGTGTTTATTTTAGTATATAAATGTTAAATTTCTTCATCAAGAGGGTATAATGTTAAACTTTTCTCATGGACAAAATGTCAAATATATGGAAGTAGGGGGAAAAATAGGATAATTAGCTCCATAATTCTTCACATCAACAATTATAGACTCATGAACCATCTTGTTTTCACTCCTTGGTTTCTCCCATGTCACCATCTTCTAGGTTTTTTTGAGTGAAAAATTTTCCATCCACATTGTGTTTCATATGGTCATTCCTGTACATTTTGTCTTATAAATTTAATCACCATCGATCTGTGCCACTATTACACCATCTTTTCAGTTTCCCACTGGATTTTTCCCAATTCCTTCACCCCCTCTCTCCACTTATCAAACACTCTGACCCAAATAGCTCCCCTCCTCACCACCTTCAGCCCCCTGCCCCTTCTCCTTCCCTCGTCAGACAGTTATACACATTTTACTAGTTAATTCTTCTGTTTTCACAATAATGGTCTTAATGCAGTATTAATCATCTTCTACCTTTTTTAAATTTTTAACTTTTTTATTTTATGTTGTTTTGCCTACAAAGTTCATATACATTGTATTTCACACTATACTGCATTCACATTGTATTTCATACATTCTCCTTCATTAAATTTTATAAAATTAATCATCATTGAGCTATGCCCACCATTACCCTTTCTTTCCAGATCCCCACCAGATCTTTCCCATTTCCTTTGCAGCACCCCCTTCCTCTACCCACCAAATTGTGTGACCCTATGATTTCCCCCCAGCCCACAGTCACCTCTCTGCTCTCATCCCTTCGTCCTTTGGAGGCCCATACATGTTTTATTAGTTATCTTTCTATTTTTACAGTAATGATCTTACACAGTATTTATCCTTATGAAATTTGAGTTAGTTCACTCAGCATAATGCCCTCCAGTCTCTCCCAAATTATGGAGTCATTTTCAAAATTGTTTTTCCTGAGGATTGTGTTCATCATGTTAATGCAGCACAATTTCTAAATATATTTGACTGTGGGTGGGTATTTGGGCTGTTTCCAGGCTAGTGTCATAGGAATGATGGGGTGGGGGGAAAGCCCTATTTTTTTTTGAAAGCCCTATTTTTAAATAAATTTCAGCAAGCTGTACCAAATTATGCCATAATTCTTACAGTTGCTTTTAAATGGAAATAGTAATTTTGTTCCCTTTTACTAATCTTGCTTACATTTCTGTTCTCTCTTATGTTGTTTTTGTTTTTGTTATTTTGTGCCCTTGAGTCCCCTGCAACTCTTGGTGACCCTATGTTACAACAGCCCTAAATGCTGCTCTATCCTGTGCCAATCATATTGTCTCTGACACACCCCATTACCCCAGTCACTGAATCAATCCATCCCATCGAGGGTCTTCTTCTCTTGCATTGTACCTCCACCTTCCCAAGCATGATGTCCTTCTCTGAGGACTGGTCCCTTCTTGCAACATGTTCAAAGTATGTCAGATGAAGCTTCAGAATCCTTGCCTCCAAGGAGCAAGCAACCTGGTCTTATTACCCTCTCTAGGATGAACCTGTTTGTTATCCTAGCAGTCCATGGTATATTCTATACTCTTCTCCAGCACCACAGCTCAAAGGCATCAATTCACCTTCTATCATCCCTAGTCATTGTCCACCTTTCTGACATATAGCAAGTAATTGCAAAGACTATGGCCTGTATCAGGAGTACCATAGTCTCCAGACTGACATTGTTGCTCTTCAGTATTTTGGAGAGTTCTCTGACAGCAGATTTTCTCAATGCAATTCATCTTTTCATTTCGTGGCTGCTGGTACCAAGAGTGTTGACTGTGGAGCCAACCAAATTAAAGCTGTTAACTGTCTCAGTCTCTTCACCATCTATCATGATGCTGCCAATAGGACCAGTGGTGAAAAATCTTATGTTTTTTTGATGTTGAGTTTCGATCTATATTTGATCTTCTACAGCAAATGTGTCAGGCCCTTCTCAGTTTTGGCAAGCAGAGTTGTGTCATCTGCCTAACACAAATTTTTATGAGTTTTTCTCCTATCCTAATACCACATTACTCTTCATAGAGCCCTGCCTCCCAGATAATCTGTTCTGCATATAGATTGAAAAGTTATGGAGATAAGATAGATCCCTGGCATACACCCTTCCTAATTTTGAATCATACAGTGTTTTCTTTCTCTGTTCTGATGACTGTCTTCTGGTCTAAGTATAGGCTTTGCATAAGCACAATCAAGTGCTCTGGGATTCCCATTCTTCTCAGAGTCTGACACAGCTTGTTGTGATCCACACAATCAAATGCCTTTGCATGGTTAATGAAACACAGATAGACATCCCTCTGATACTCTCTGCTTCCAGTCAAGATCCATCTAACATTAACTGTAATATCCCTAGTACCATGACATCTTCTAAACCCAGCCCGTGCTTCAGACAGTTCTCTGTTGATGTGCTGTTCTAGTCATTTTTAGATGATCTTCAGCAGAATCTTGCTTGCATATGATACTAATGATATTTTTCAATAATTTCCACACTCTCTCAGATCACCTTTCTTTAGAATAATAACAAATATAGATCTCTTCCAGTCAGTTTACTTAGGCTCTTTTAATTCTTTATATGTATGAGTCTTCAATACGGATTGAAGCTCAACATCAAGAAAACAAAGATTCTCATATTAACAAAGGAAATAATAAGAACTGTATATTCTTAGCAATTGTTGCAGAAAAGGCATTTGACAAAATTCAGTACTCCTTGCTGATAATGACACTCAGCAAAATTGAAACAGAGGGAATTTCCTCAACATAGTATATATGCAAAACCAAGAGCCAATATCATTCTCAATGGAGAAAGGCTAAAATATTTTTCTTGTGAACGTGGACCAGACAAGGATACCCACTGTCACCACTTCTATTCAATATTGTATTAGAAGTACTTGCTAGGGCATTACAACAAGAGAAGGAACTAAAAGCCACCCAGATTGGCAAAAAGATGGTTAAACTATAGCTGTATACAGATAACATGATAGTGTACACAGAAAACTGCAAGGACTCAACAAAAAAACTGTTAGAGCTAGTAGGCCAATTTAGTAGAGTGGCAGGATATAAGATCAATTTCCAAAAATTAATGGTATTCCTCTACACTAATAAAAAGAACTCAGAGAAGGAGACCAAGAAAGCAATGCCATTTACAACAGCCAACCACAAATTGAGACACTTGAGAGTGAACGTAACTAACTAGAGACATAAAAGACCTGTACAAAGAAAACTACCGAACAGTTCTGTGAGACACAATAAAAGACCTAAATAAATGGAAAAATCTTTCCTGTTTATGGATAGGAAGACTCATATTGTCAAAATGACAGTCCTACGAAAAACAATATACATGTTCAATGCAATCTCAATACAGTTATCAAATTTGTTTTTCAAGGAGATCGAAAGGGAAATTGTCAAGTTAGTTTGAAGAGGAAAGAGGCCATGAATAAGCAAAGCACTCCTCAGAAACAAAAATGAAGTGGGAAACATAGCACTCCCTGACCTTAAAATGTACTACACAACAGTAATAACCAAAACAGCATGTACTGGTACAACTGCAAGCACATAGACCAATGGAACAGAATTGAGAACCCAGAAATGGACTCAGCTATTTATGGTCAACTGATATTTGACAAGGAAATAAAATCTATCAAGTGGGGAAGTGACAACCTCTTCAACAAATGGTGCTGGCAAAATTGGGCTGCTACAACAAGCAAAATCCTGCTAAAGATTATCCAGAAATTACTAGACCCATACATTAACAGAGAAATGCAAGAAATACAAACTGGGTTTAGAAGAGGTTTTGGCACTAGAGACATCATTGCCAATGTGAGATTGATCTTGACAGAAAGCAAATAGTATCAGAGGGGTATTTCTCTGTGTTTCAATGACTATGAAAGGTATTTGACTGTGTGAATCATAACAAATTGTGACCAACCTTGAGGAGAATGGGAATCCCAGAACAATTGATAATGCTCATGTGAAACCTATACTTGGAACAAGGAAGCAGTCCTCAGAACAGAGCAGGAAAGCATTACAGGGTTCAAAATCAGGAAGAGAGTCTGTCAGGGATGCATAGTGTCTTCATACCTTTTCAATCTATATGCAGAACAGATCATTCAGGAGACTGGGCTTTATGACAAGGAATGTGGCATCAGAATTGGAGGAAGACTAATCAACAACCTATGTTAAGCAGATGGCACAACCTTGCTTGCTGAAAGTGAGGCAGTCCTGACATGCTTGCTGCAGAAGGTCAAGGACTGTAGTCTTCAATATGAGTTGAAACTCAACATTAAGATGATGATGATTCTTACCACTGGGCCAACTGGCAGCACCATGATAGATGGAGAAGAGATTGAGGTTGTTAGCAGTTACAGCTTGCTCTGCTGGAGAAGTCTTGAATATATCATGGACTGCCAAGAAAGCAAATAGGTCTGTCATGGAGAGGGTGAAACCAGGTTTCTCCTTGGAGGCTAGGATTTTGAAGCTCCATGTCACACACTTTGAGCATGTGGCTAAGGAGGGACTAGTCCTTTGAGAATGACAGGAAACTCAGAAGGGTAGAAGGACAGCACAGAAGAGGAAGACCTTGGATGAAATGTATCGGTACAGTAACTGGGCAATGAAGGTAGGTTTGTCAGAGTCAGTGAGACTGGGTTAGGACAGGAAAGACTTCAGAAGTGTTGTACATAGGGTCACTATGAGTTGCAAGCAATTTGAGAGCACACAACAACAACAACCTGCAGAGAGTTGAAACAAGATCCATATTTCACACCATATACAAAAATCAACTCAAAATGGATTTGAGACCTGAAAGTAAAGCTCAAAGCCATCAAGATCATCAGAGACAAACTGGGATCAAGTTTAGGTATAAAGAGACTGCCAAATACATCCAAATACAAAAATACACAATCTGGAGAGGATAAAATTGATGACCTTCTAAAGATTAAATTCCTGTGTGCATCAAAACTTTTTCC